AATCTCACTCCTAGTCCTTAGTCTAGCTAAACCTGTAGATAGCTTCTCTCTTTTACAACGCATCCAGAGATCTCCAGTTTCATCTACAGCTTCATTGACTGAATATCATCTCTCTCAGACCCGTTGTTCATGGCGTTCATGGCTACATGCGATGACTCTCCCAGTCCGCAGGTATTTGAAACGAATCAAAAATTCTAGCCCATTTTGGACTGTGAAGATGAGCGTAGTTGAGAAGACACAAAGAAAAAAGATCAAACGAGGTTGAAGTGGAAGTGGAAGTGGAAGTAGGAAGAGGTGGGAGTGACCAGGAAACATCACTTCCAGTTCTTCTACACTCCTAGGATAACTAGTTACTTCAGATGTCATTATATAAGCGTTTTTTACACAACGCATCGGAGTTGTGGAAAGATGCTCTACCTACTGTGGGTGTCTATATAGTTCAGAATCCCACCCCCTCCATGATTCAAGGGTACTCAAAATCGACACTGCTTCTCGATCACAGCCTACGATGTACTCCGTACAGAGTAAATGAAAGGTCAAAAGTTCCAGAGCTGATCCTTCACTATGGAGCATTAGGTACTTCTGTACTTCGTACAGCTGTGACCACTGCAAAGAAGGGGGTGTGATTTTTACAACCCAGTTGGCCGCTACCCCTGGCACTCGCAGGAGAAACTGACGCAAGGGATATCATCATTATGAAAAAGACAGATGGCATTTTCTTGCCGTAAGAATCAATGACCTTCTGCGTTAGGCTTCCAGGCACTGTTGAGCATCTTACACCCTGAGATCTAGTCTTATTGGATCTCTGCCTCTCATCTGCGTCATGTACGGTCTTAAACAGCTCTCGCTTCTAAGCCTGATGTTTTTCTCTGTGTCGGCAGCGAAGAACTCCAATAGAACAATTGTGGGCATGCTTTTCCTGAAGTCAATAATCCAATGGCTAACATGACCATGCAGGTGGGCATTGAAACAGCCGACAAGAGCCGTGGCATCGATGTGCCATTGAATGATTGCCACGCGATCGAGGAAGAGTGAGATAAATTTTCCACAAATCCTGCTTCGAAAGATGCTAACAAGTCAAAGAGATGTTCTAACGGTGTCTTTGAAAAAGCCATGTCGTCTCTTCACGTAAGTACGCAATCAATAAAAGCAAGTGGTCTCTCACTAACCGTACAACAGCGGCCCTGACTGCACCGGGCACAACACACTCTTGAGCCCTGGAGACCACTCTTCCAAGGACCCAATTCCTGTCATCGAATCGATATTTTGTCAGTCATCCTTTTGAGGAAACACAATGGTAAAAATGGATCGTGGGAGTTGCAGGCTTTTTTTTCCGGCTTAAAACTGGCACATTATATAAAATCAAGCCTCGTATTGTTGACCATTGTTTCCGTCGGTGTGCCATTCTCCTGCCTTAGATGCCACCGAAAAAAAGGAGTGTCTCGATCGGGCACCAGGTCCAGCAGCGCTGAGGTTAATTTCGACCGAAAACAATTTTTTCCCTGCGACATCTAGATGGAAGCCTCCAACTTACCGACCACCAACACCTTTGATGTTGCCGTCTCGAATGTTAGCACAAAGTTGAAGGGCATCATGAGCTTCTAGAATGGGAAGACATGCGGCACAAAATTCTTCAGCTCCAAGGTACCGCCACTTAGGCAGGCAACTGCTGGTGACCAGGTGTCACAGTAGCGGTTAATGGACCGGATATCAATCTAGTAGAGCCGGCAAGAAATGGTTACTCCAACGCGACACCGGAACAACTGACCTCGGCGATAGAGAAATGAAAAGTGGTAAGGTTTTCCTAATTGAATTTACTACACCAATTTGGCCATGCCTTCCCGCTGTTCAGTGTGCGGCAGTGCACATACTGCTTTTCACACCGGCAAACTCGGGTACAGGATCTGGTGTAACATGCTCGCCTGACGCGAAGAAAGCACGAATAGCCTCTGTATTCCTCTTCACATCCCCTGTGCGGTCTACCTCATACCAAACGCACAGAAGGACAAACCATTTTGCAAAATCCAGTTGAGAGGGCCCTGGATCTGTCGCCACGATAGGGTGTGCACCTGAGGCATGTGTAGTGGTAGGTGGAGCAGGTCCCATTGGTCTACACTACACGCCCCTACACCATAGCCCAACGAAAGACCAGCGGACCCCATCACAGAGTATACTGGGCTTAGAAGTGCTGCGTTTCATGATGCTGCTTTTGGCGCTCAGAGTGTTCGCAATGGAAAGGCCACCTAGTGTTTCAACCAGGAGAAGCACTCTGTCACTGGCGAATCTGTACACCAAGCCAATTATTCTAGGATACTACTCCTGAGTGTGGAGAGCAGTGGCTTCAAGAGTGGCTTCATCTGGTTGCATGTGTATTCAGCATAACCCCTTCAAACGTTGGACTAGTAAACAAATCAGGAAAAAGTCTAGCCAAAGTTGGATACCAACAGTGCTTATGCTGAAGATTTGCCTGTTGTTCAAGGTCTGCTATTAGCCACTGATTCCAAGGCTTGCCAGGTGAACCTGGTCCAACTACCTGTAACCGTCTGAAATTGACATTGAGGGTATTGATTCCAGCCGATCTCACCCCTGAACGTGATTTAAGTGACAACAGACGGGAACATCTATAGGAGGTCCAGAGATGTGAGCTTTTCGCGGGGACAAGGGAACAGCTGTGCAGTCCCACTAGTCATGCAACGTGCTAGGAGTCTTCAAAATGAACAGTCACAAGATGGACTGAATATCAAACCAGTGATCAAACAAATTGTATTTTTGAACACAAAGATCCATCTTGCAGCGGGTGAACATCCGTCTTCTGAATTTCAAATAAACTTCACGCAAAACACGGGGGTTAAGTCAAGTGATTTAATGCATGCGAGTATGAATCCTGCTCTCGAGATTATTTTGATATGCTGACTGGTTGTTGCACTTGGAAGCTCGTTAGAATATTAAGTGATTCCACTCTCATCGTGTTACTGAAGGAAAAGTCACATCAGATATCACAAAAAGGAGGGAACTATGAATACCTGAAACTTTGCCATTGCTAAAAATGTACGCATTTACAATGTGTCCGTGGCCCATGCCCTAGTGGAGGGTTGCTTGAGTGATCTCGCAGAACTGTTGATGCAGCCACATGCGATGAAAGAAGTTTCCAAGAGCATTTTCAAAAACTGTGCAACAAAAGAAAAAATATTCAGATACTTGGTATCTCCGAATAAATCTTTTTGCCTAGATTTAATTTATGTTCTATCTCGCTAACCAAGGGCCTATAGGCTCTCAACATTAGTTTATCTTCTTTCTAACTTCCAGCTCTATCTTTTAATCCTATTTTTATGTCACGGTGCGAACCGTGATGCTTAGTTAGAGGAAGATCACGGCACGTGATCTCTGACCTGTTTATCTGAACTTCAGTTCTAGATCCTGTTGTAGCTCTTCGAGCTACGTCTTGTATAATAGCCTGCCCCTGCCTGTACCTGTCAAGTGGAATCTGATCTGTTATGACCTGTTCCTACCAGTCATCTCCTATCGTACCGTCCTGCCAGCCCGCACCCTGACAATCTTGTTGTTCTTTGGGTAAAAGCTTCATCTCTAGCCGATTGAATGATCCGGAAAAAATCCCGTTTTTTGCTTGCACTTCCACCTCACATAACAATCTCATTATTCATCGTACGAAAATGATGTTTTAGGCTTTGGAATGCTGGGCCATCGAGCGGTTGACAGAGATGTGTTGTATGGGGTAAAAAGAAATATGGGATGATGTTTTTTTGTGTGCAAAAGTCGATAAATTCGAATGTAAGATGGGAGCCATGGTTATCCATTAAAAGAAGCCTTGGCCTACCCTTCTTTACTAACTTAATAGTAGCTTCATGAAAGGAGAATAGCCATTGAAGGGCGGTTTCATCGTCAATCCAGCCATTAGTAGTAGGCTTAATTCGAAAATCGGTTGTAGTGATATTCTCATACCACTCCTCCATATAGGTATTATGGTAGCATCAACCAGCTATCGGCAGAGATAAATTCAATACCAGTAATTGATTCCGACTGGCCTCCGGTAGCAATATAACTGGTTGTACGCGAGGTAATAACCTTACGTGCTTTACTTTCGCCAATTCGGTAGCCGGTTTCATCCCAATTGAAGATCTCGTGTGGAAGAAATTGGTGTTGCTTCATAACCTGGGTAAGGTTATTAAACCAAAGAAGCAAGGCGCCGTAATACTCACTATCAACCCTCGATTTCTCCTTTAGATGTTGGGTG